TTTTTTTTTTTGTTGCCGCTGTAACGGTGTGTCAAACATTGGCAATTATAATAATTGCTTAATTAATGTTTACAAAAACAACAGCAATAATACAAACTGCAGTAGCATCAACAAAGACGGCAAAAGCGACGGCGGCGTCAAAGCGGCGCAATACTCGTAATATATTTATATTAGCGCCTGCAGCAGTTTAAAAAATAAGCTGACAATAACAACAACAACATTAAGCGTTTGCAACAATGCAACGTACGGCGCGGCAATAAAGCAATCGCGGAAAAATCACAAAAAGCAGGTGCGCATAATTTGCCACATTTTATTGTGTGCATAATTACAGCTTATCGAACCACTGTGCGCGGCGCCGCTCAATGCGGTGGCTGGTACGTGTTGAGTTTAATATACGCAAAAAACAAGAAAAAAAAAAATAATAATAAAATTAATGGAAGTTTTGTGCGCAAAAAAGTGCAACGTTTATTTGTTTTTGCTGTTTTTTGCTCAGAATAATTTTAGAATTTTTTGTACTTTTTTTTGCAATGTCTTATCTTTATTTTCTTTTTGTTTCCAATTTTTATGGCTCTATTTCCCATATTACGAGAGTTTCAGGTTTTTCTTCTCGCTGAAACAAAGGCGCCTTAATTAGTTTTAAAACTAAGTGCAACCACTTTAGGCATTATCTTAATCGTTATTTTATGTTCATTTTTTATGGCTATAGCTGAATAAAAAATCTAAATTAATATCTGGCTTGTTGATTTTAGCTGAAAAAATATACTTGTCCCTTTGCTTTATTGCGGATTCAACAACATTGTTATGCCTCAGTTTCAGCACCTTTTACGTGTGGGATTTTTTAATACAGCAGTGGCTAGTTTCGTAGAATCATCTGCATTACTTACTTACTGACTGACAAGGGCGCATGTGCGTTGCCAAACTTAGAAGCAACTATTTGTCCCAAAGAAGGGAAAATTCTCAACGTGCCGACTAAAGGCGAAAACTAAGGTATTAAGATGCCTACGGTTGTTATGCGCTGTTGAAGAAAACTCCAGGGAATGTTCTCCACTTATGTAATACTCCACTAGTACCTCCATTCAAAATCTTTGAAGAAGCAGCCCAAAATTGTTGTGATTTCTGTCACGACACTTGGTGGTGATTAGAAATTTCAGTGGCAACTAACAGAGCAATTCTAGCCAAGATAGTAAAAAGTCTTTAGTAAGACAACTGAAAGACAGTAGGCAAGATAGTTCGAAAAGCTTTTGTTATTCCAGCACAAAAGTCTTAGATAAAAAAGCTCTCTCATTCAACACTCGTGGTGAAAAGCTATTGTCAGAGAAAGCACTTGTAAATCATTTAGTTCGCGTCACTCCAACAGTCGCAATGACCGAGTGGAAAAAGAACAGGCGTGCCAAACGAGAGATCCAAGTTCGAGTCCTAGCGCGGCGGATTTTTTTGTTTTTTTTTTAATATTATTTTTTTAAATTTAATTTTGCGGATCTTTTACTTATTAAAATAATATATATATCTATTTTTTAATTTAATTTAATTTTAGAAAACTTATTTTATGCATTTTTTGAGTAAACTTTTTTTCTTAAATTTTCTTCAATGGTTAAGTTGTTATGGCTTTAAAAATTATATTTTTTTATATTTATTTAATTTTGAGAAACTTATTTAGTTTTTCTTTTCAAATAATTTTTAGTTTTTTAGTTTTTAAGTTTATTTTCAGGTTTTGTATTGTAAAAAAATAAATATTATTTTTTCTTTCATTTACTTTTTAGAAATTTATTTTATTTATTTTTCCTTTTTTTAAATTTATTTTGTTATTTTCTTGTTGACTTCATTTCCATTAAAGTTTTAGATTTTATTGTTTTAAAAAAGAAATAAAAAAAATATATATTTTCACTTAATTTTTAAGATCCTATTAAATTTTGTAATTCTTTTGTTTTTTTTTAATAAAAACATTTTTAATCTAATTCAATTTTATAATCCTATTTCATTCTTTTTTGAATCAATTTATTATTATTCAAAAATATCCAAACAGCAAGATAATAATTTCTTCGATTTTTCGTGAAGAGTAGACCAAAAAAAATAGTTTTTAGGTTTTCATCTTTTTGCATTTTTTCCGGTCAGGACCCATAGTGCGGCGTAAAACTGCAGATCCTTCCATTTGTGTATGAACGTTAAGGCGCATGCCACAAATTAGTGTAGAAACTCGGCCCACTACTTAGTAAAAGTGTTAGCACCAAAATATTATTATAATTTGCAGGAAATTGTCTCATACAGCTGAACATCTTGTTTATTTAACACAATATTTATTGGTTGCATTAAATACGCATGAATTTCTCAAAGACTTATTGAAAATTTTGAAAGTGTTAAATTTCTGACCACTGCTGTGTTTTGCTCTCGAAACGAAATAAATATTTTCAATGCTTTTTGTCTGCCCATGACTTGTTATGAAATATTTCGCAAGGTCGTTTATGAAATTGATTTTTAATTAAGGCAATAATGAGTTTTATTAGTTAATGCAGTATTGTGATTACATCTTGACCATGGCCCATAAAAGTGGTAAGCTAAAAGCCAGGTAAGTAGTCAAATTGAAGCAATTAAGTAGAAAGAACTAATGTAGTGGAATACATATGTTATGGAACTAAAATTTGCAAACTTACTTCTAAATATCGCACAATTAATTTTACATATTGTCACATACCTCTTTGCTCAGCTTCAATTACGCAGACTGAACAAATAAAGAAAAGAACAAATTAAATATTTTTAGTTATTTTTAGAAAGCCTTAAAACTAATATTGCAAATTAATAAAAGCAAATGGACACTCGCCTCGACAAACAGGCTAGTCTGGGAAGCTTTGAGTTAATTTTTGCACGTAATGCCATACATCACTTTAATTTACTACTTTTAATAGTTGTCAATATTTTTTTTCATTCGATTTAAAATTTTTACACCAGAAATCAATAGACTAACGGAAATGTTTCAAATAATTGAAATATTTTTTTGTGACGCAAGAAAATGCAATTGCAAACGCTCAATCGTTAAAAAAAGCACACAAAAATGTTGTGAATCGTAAAAAAAGAGACACTAACACAGGCACAATTGTTAAAAAAAAGTGTCAATAAAACTGTAGCGAAATAATTGTGTAGCCGCAATGGCGACATGGCACAAAAAGGAGTTGCTTCAGAAAACAAAACAGCAGCCAAATGGGTGCGCCAAAGTGGGCGTGGGCCAGTGGCAGCAGCAGGCGCGCACAACCAGCGGCAAACATTTGCTCTACATCTGCTAACAGGAGTGCTGCTGCTTACATATGTGCATATGTTTGTAAGTGTGTATTTATGTGTGTAGTATATGTACATAAATATATATATACATACATACATATATGTATTTATATAAACTTTTTTTTCAAGCCACGTATACACTCCTAAGTGCATTTGCAGCTTTTGTGCGTAATTAACTTCAACCGCCGCACGCTGTGTTTATGCCGTACGTACTATTCTCATGCATGCTGGTGCGTATGTACATATGTGCATTCCTATGAATTTGGTTGCATTTATATGTATATTTACTACTTTTTTTGACAACGCGGCGCATATGTCAAATACGCTAGTAATGTGGGTTGCAACGCCTCGCCGTTTGTGACAAATTTAGTGAGAAAAGTTCGGCAATGGTAGAATGGTAGGAAGGCTCACTCACTTACGCGCACACGAATACCTACTTACATACACACATATGTATGTGGGGCGTTCCATACCAAACGGACGGCGTTCACACTTCATGCGCTTGATTTATTTGAAATTTTTAGGGTTGGTGGATAAACATAAATAATAAATAAATATGAAATTTGAGCTTGATTAATACGTTTTTAAAAACTTCACAGCATAAAAACCAAAACCAATCGATTTAATAGTTTTCCAAATATCTCGAGAAAGGGGCGAGGAAAGATTTGAAAAAAATCGTACATACACACATTAAAATTCTCTATGAAAAGAAATATTAAAAAATTTTTTTTTTCTTGAAAAAATTTTCACATACAAATTTTTTGATAAAAAAAAATTGTTTTTGAAAATATGTCGTCTCAAAAAAAAATGTAAAAAAAAATCACAATGGTAGCTCTGAGTATTGCGCAATATTTAAGTATAGTATTATGGGGTGCACTCTACAATATTTTGAGTTATGAATTTTCTACACCGAAGTTGAGTAAAATAAGTACATTACGAATTTAAAATATTTTATGGAATTTTTTTGAGTATGCAGTTTTGTAGCCCATTAATTTTAATATAACAAAGTACAAGCTTAAAGCTACTGAAAACTTGCGTTGATTTTTAATGTGTTTTATGCTGACGGCTTTTTGCAATTTTTTCTTATGGAAGAAAATGCGCAAAACCGTTTTAAAAGAAAACCAAAAAAAAAAACTCAAGTTTTGCAATCTCTTAAGACTTGCACTTTATTATACGAGAATTAAATGGGTTACAAAGCTGCATACTCTAAAAAATTTTTAAAAATTTGTAAATTCGTAATGAACTCATTTTACTCAACTTTGGTGTAAAAAAAAATCATAACTCAAATTATTGTAGAGTGCACCCCATAATACTATCTAAAATATTGCTAGATTGCTCAGAGTTACGACTGAGATTTTTGAAAACTTTTTTTGAGATGGCATATTTTCAAAAATTATTTAATATTTCTTTCATAGAGAATTTAAATGTGTGTCCATGCGATTTTTTTTTCAAATTTTTTTCCTCGCCCCATTCTCGAGATATTTGAAAAACTACTAAATCGATTTGGTTTTGATTTTGTGCTGTAAAGTTTTGAAAAATGTATTAATTAAGCTCAAATTTCATATATGTTTATCATTTATGTTTATGCATCAACGCTAAAAATTTCAAACAAATCAAACACATGAAGTATGAACCCCGTCCTTTTTGGTATGGAACGACCCATATACATCAAAACCTTGTAGCCCAATCAATGCACCGAAGTTGCATTGCTGCCGGCCAATTGACGCGTAAATTTACTCTCAACTGATTTATTTTACACACAATTTATTTGAAGTAATATTTTGATAACGATCGCAAGAATGCGCTAAGGCACCCGATTTTTTAGGATACAGTGGGTTTGTTTTAAAAAAGTCCAAACAATTTTTTTCAAAATCTCGTCGTTCGCCCGCTTCGTTGAAAGGGCATGGTATCATGATAGAGGGCCGAGAGTAGTACAGAAATATTTGACGTCGATGGTAGTAGGTGTGAGTTGTATTATTATAGGTAATAAAATGACTGATGAGATGCTCCGATAGCTCAGCAAAAGTACAATCAAAGCTGTAAATATTTTCTTGCAGTCAATGATTTTTGTTTCTACTGAGGAAAGAGACTATAGGCCAAATGATGAGAAACACAAATAAATACGCACTAAGTACTACATATAACGCCGTGTCAGCGCAAGCCCTTTTGCACTTAAATATACAAAAGCAGTAATAATGGTGTGCCATAAATAACACAGAAGCCAACAGAATGGTAAATGAAGGATTCGAACAATACAGGATCGAAAATTACATATACAGGTTATGAAAATCGAAAATTACATATACAGTGAGTGTCAGTCAAAATCCTACAGTAAGTTTTATCCATATTTTGAAAATATTTTGTTTTATTGAAATGTTCAATAAAAGTATAGTTCATAATTCAACAAAATCCATAGAAGTCAAAGTTTCTAACTTTGGTATAATTAGGAAAAATTCGTCAAAATTTTTAGGTATGCAGTTTATAGTTCATTAAATTTTAGTATAATAAAGTGAAATTTTGAATTCGCTACAAAATTCCGCTTTTTCTTCCATATAAAAATAGATTTTGTTCATGCGTTATGGTAGAAAATGCGCAGCACTGTCAACAAAAAAAAAAAAAAATAGCAAAAAATCAACGGTATTTTGTACCCACTTCAAACTTTCATATATTAAATTGAGTTAAATTAAATTGAAATTAATTATAGCACATTTAGAAACTTTCACTTTTGTGGTATGAACTATATTTTAATGACAAATTAATCAAATTTAAATCAAACAAAATGTCTTTAAAATATGGAAAAAAATTACTGTACGATTTTGACTAACACTCACTGTATTTGCTTAGGCGCGCGAAAAGAGTGGATTATATATCTGGTTATTTATAATTTAAATTCCAAGTTTATTTTTTCATAAAAAAATTATGTTATGTACAATCATTCGAAAGAGCTAAACGCAACAAAACTGATTAGTCGATATAGCTGCAATTTCATTGTATTTTTTTTTGCAAATATACTGTTTATTGCGAGAGTGCTGAGCAAATTATGTGAAATTTTGTGATTCTAAAATCAACAGATTTTCGCTATTAGTTGGCACCATGAATTTTCAATCGCCCTGCTCATAGTAGTTGAAACCCTGTGCGCAGCAGCGCTTTATGAATTACAAAAAAACAAAAAAAAAAAAATGGTTTGCCACGCAGCTGCACCCCACTGTGCCACATATTAACTAGTAAAGCATCACAACTTTATCTAAATAAAATACTTGTAGTACTTGCGGCATGCGGAGATTTTTAGAAACACATAAAAACCAACAGCGATCCTATCGATCGAACAAGTGTTAGACGACTGTTATTCGTAATATGTAATGTGAAGTCATGTGTAGTTTTGTAGTAGTTACTTGTAGAAATACAGTTTTTAGTACTAATGGTGTCTAACAGACATGATTTGCAAAATAGCTGCTAGCAAATCACGCCACATTTTTTTATGGCCGAATTGAAGTGTTTTTATATGTTTGAAATAGAATAAAATATTTATTTGTCGATTTAGCTAATCAACTGACGTTCATTTATTGCCAGCAGCATAAACAATATTTCGAGACATGAACTATATATGTATGTAAACCCAAAATTATTTGTATGATGATCTTTGTATGTGCATTAGAGTGATCCAAAAAATTTTTTCCCAGATAGGGTTTGGGGCAGCTTCCAAAATGTTTCCTCTTGCCGAAAGAGGTGCTGGTACCAAGCTTCATGTTTCTAAGTATAAATTTAGAGGATGCTCATATTTTACTCTAGAAGTATTGTGTACACATGTATATAAATCGAGCAATGGGTTAAGTAACCTATCCAGGAGCATTTCAAGACCTTTGAGCACCCTGTATTGGTTACCTGCAGTACATGGTGAACTTTTTCCCCCCATACAAAATTTCGACCACTCTAATGTACATACATATAAATAAAAAAATTAGTATAGGTTTAAGCAGTTTGCGAAGTGACAAATATCTGTTAGTCTCTAAAGATGGCAGTCTGCTGGCGCTCGAATGGCTGAAATTCTGCTCGGGTAGGAAGACGCGCAGCCACACAGCGGACACACTTACTGCCACACAGACGTACAATCTGGTAATAAATAAGATTAATGTCACATACTTGCTGACATGTTAAAAGGCGGCCATTTAAAAAGCATTAATTTAGTGATTAATCTGATGGCAACATTTGACATTATACATTTATTTGGGCATGTTGCCAAGTGAGCCGGCTAGAAATCGACAGTGGGCAATCAGTATAATAAAAATATACTTGTACATACATGTATGTAAGCACTTTACATATACATATGCAATTATGCATTTTAAGTTACTCAGAATTTTAGCTCTAAATAACCTGTCTGCGTTAAGCAAAGATTAGGCGTAGCCAATAGCTTGTTGACTAATTTGAGGTTTTTAGTTTACAAGCCTA